GGCAGGGAGCGGGTCGGGGGTCGCGGCAGCAGGCAGAAGAGGAAAGCGGGGATGAAGAGCAGAGCCCCGGGGAGCGGGGCCCAGCTCCGGCCTTGGGGGGTCAGGTTTGGGGTGATGGGAGGCTGGAGGCGTGGGGACGGCCTCCCTGCCCCTCTGACCTGGACAGCTGGCACCAGGGAACAAGCCCTGCCTGTTTGCATCTCTCACCTCAGGAGAATGACTCTTCCAGTTCCAGGAGAAAAGTTTCTCGCCCCGACTCTGCAATCGCTAGATCGGAGTCGATCATATTCCCCACCGACCCCTCTATACAGGCTAAACCCACACTATCTTTATTTTTCTCCTGCGGGAGTCCCTTGCTGAAACCACGACCGTTTCTCTGTCCAAGCACTGGCTGCACACATCAGCATGCTAACACGAGGACCTCAAACCACCTTCAAACCACTCACTTCATTTGCCTCCTGACCTGGCTTTAGCTACCTGGTTTTTTGGACTTGGAAATGAAAGCAAAGAGGAGCTGAGCACACAAATTACTGCACAAGTCAATGAAAGAGGTAAGAACTGAAGCAGGGAGCTCAGAGCTTCTGAACCTCAGCACCAGCAGCCAGTGTATGAACATATTTATCCACAAGTGTTACTACCAATTATCTCAGGAGCAGCGCTGCTTCAAAGAGACCATTGTCACTTGCAGCTGTTAACATGAGGAAGCATGTGAAAGCAAGGAACATTATTTTAACCTACAAAACCAATATGGAACTGTGTTGTCATGGGTGACCTGATCTGATTATTTGCCAGGCTGTGCATTTAGTTTATTTGTGTAATACTGAAGTGATCCAGAATATGCTGAGGCAGATACAGACTTTAATAATCTGACTAAAACGTGGTATAGCACACTATTCGCAGTCTAGATTTTCCAAAGTCCCTTGGCTTCTCCTGTAAAACCGCACAGAGCATTTTGAATGCTTCAGACTTTGCAAACCAGCTTTCCACATCATAATTTTTAGGTGCAAAGCACAGAGTCTGCACTGAATTCATGAAGCTCGCCCAGCAGGTGTGCAAGCAGTTTCAGAACAAATTGCTGTTGAACAGGACAAACGCATGTCAGCGTATGAAAATGGATATCCAGCTACAAGGAATAGAACACCAAAGCCAAATAATCCTTCTGTATTGAAACAAAAGCTTTATCGTGGTATGATGCTCTGGTGCCACAAGAAGTGTGCTAGTGCCACCACCGTTCCCTTGGACAGCAGTCACCAAAAACCTGCAGTTATTTCTGGATGTTTCTTCAACGGGAAGAAGATGGCAGTGAGTTAATATGGTGGGAAGGGGCACCCATATTTGACCCAGTTTAGCTTCTGTTGCACATCTCAGACTGGGCTGCTGAGCGAGAACCTGCAACATGCACAATGGCATGCAGGGCAATAAGGGGAGGCAGAAATTTTGGCCAAGGTGATGAGGTCTATGCGCCAACAGATAAATGTGTTTTACAAGAACAGAGAGTTACCTACACTCTTCCAGATGTGAAGCACCAGGCAGTCTAAGCCACATACAAATGCTAATCTTTACCTCTAGATCCCAGCTCTGCCAACATACATCTGAGAGGGCAAATTGCTGTTATCTGGGGTTTTCCAGCATCGTCCACCCTTTGCTGCCCTGGGTGCTAAATGCAGTTGTGAGGCAGATACACTTAAGAGGCAGCTGTTTCCCAGCTCAACAGATTTCTGAGTGAGCCTTGGAGATGATGCATTTACAATGGGATATTTGGTTCTGTAGTGTCCTCAGTCAGCTGATCTGGAAGTACCAGAATTAGCCTGAAGGAAAAATTCACTGCCTATGCTAAGAGTTATTGCTCTTTAAGCATGTCAAAATAGTCTGCCTTTTGTACATTCAGTATTTACTTGACTGAAATCTTTTCTAGTTATTTTATTTACTTATCCCTTAAATTAGTTTAAATGATTAAGCTTCTAGAAACCATTTCCATTAATTAGTTTAGCTGCAAGGGGAAAACTGCAAGATGGCCAGGACAACACACAGGGCAACTTACTCTGGCAAATTAATTTAATCTTTCTTTAGCCCCTACCTAGTATACCAGTTCAGAAAGCACGTAAGCAGGAGCTTTACTTTAGCATGAGCTTAAAGCAGTCATATCAAAGGAACTACTAATTCCTAAGAATCTTCGATGAACTGGAGCCTAGACCCTGAAATCAAAGCGAATCGCAGGTTCAAATCTCTGCAGGACTGAGCCTTCTCCCCACAAGAATTACATCAAACATTGCATTGCAAAAAGCTCAGCAATCATATTTTCAACAGATTTTCAGTGAAAAACTGTTTATCCAAATCCTCTGCCAATTCTAATTGCAGTTTTCTAGTTGCTTGGAAGCCTGGGTTCTACCAATACCTGTCTCAGTTGGGGAGAGGCTGTGTGTAGGTTGGGGTGGTATCTTCATTAAGGCAGCTGACAGGGATGGGGTAGTGTTTTCCAACAGAGTGTGCCTTTTCTATGCCACAGTATTTGCTTCTTTCCAGCTGAACAAAGAGGTCGGTTTAAACACACTACCTCTTTTGACAGACGTCGTCTGTGTTTATATCATTGAATCTCAGAGCTACAACAATGTTTTAACACAGAATACAACAAATTTCTCTTGGGCTGGTAGTGTCTTTCAAAATGAATGAAGCATACTGTACTGACTACAAATTCAACAGAAGGACCCGTTTTAACTCCAGCTCCTGTCTTAACTTTTACCAAAACACCCATGTCTGTGTACGTATACATAACATATAGGTATTTATTTGTTCTTTTAGAGAGAAAAGTCTTATATCCAAACCCTGATTATTTAATATTGGAAAGGAGGAAAAGCATATGTAACACTGAACTTCCATTTAGTTGCATTCTAAGACCATTATGTAGTGTCCAGCCACCTTTTTGAGACCAAGAGACAGGATCAGAATGCACAGGAAAACGTGAAGACAAAGCAGGCTCTGATTAATCTAAAAGATGTTCTGCAAAGATTTCAAGGACTGAAGGAAGTATGAAAAAGAATAAGAACAGTCTGCAATTCAGTTTAATAGAACTGCTGGTTTGCTCTTTTGACAGACTTTAATCACGATACCGATCTATACTGATAAACCACACTGATGGTCAACGTTGTGTTAAATATTCGGTTCTTTCCAAATCATGTTCACATGCAATAACTACATTCCTGCCATAATCAAGCTCTGCGCCTGCCCTTTCTACCGAATCAGAATCGTTCCTCTAATATGTCCAAGCATGTATTCCCTCCCCCTCGCAACAAGAAAGAAATACAAATCCACTTATGAATGCAACCTTACACTTCTCTCAGTGAAATATTATAGCAGAAAATACTTTGAGGTCTGGAAAGTTCTCAAACTGCAGATCATTGACCACTTTCAGCCCAACAAGAACTTGCCGACTGTCCACAGAGAAATAAGTTAGTCAGAGTGATGATTTTTCCTTGTTTTCAGCTGTTGCTACAGCTGGCATGCAGACGCTCTCATGAGAAGACAAAGCGAAAGACCTATAAACCAGCTGGAAATAAAGAACAGCTAGTCCTACTGCCTCTGCTAGGGGCCTAACAGCAGAGGAAACAGAAGTCAGGGGTACCTAAATAAGGAAAATATTTGGGAGAGAAAAGGACAAAATAACCAGGTGATGTAAGAATCATCCCCGAGAGCTTCTCCATGAGAGAAAGACATCCCACAGCCTAAAAGGAA